ACACACACAGTTATTCCAGGGGGCTGTGGGTCGGGAGTGAGGGGCTTGACTCCAAATATATGTTATTGTTATTAGCGCCATGGACCATGTGGGAGGGAGGTGGGTGCAGGGGTGTGTGTATGTGTGTATAGGGGGGTGCATGGGGTGGTGGCGGGGGGTGTGTGCGCATATGGGGGGGGCACGGGTTGCATGGGGGGGGTGTAGCACCTGCTCTCTCACCCACAAACCCAGCTCACACCTCGGCCCGGCCCTCATCCCCCGCCCGTCCCCCTACCAGGGCTGGCTCGAGACCCCGGTGCCACCGCCTGAGCCCCGCCCCCAACCGGTGCTGGGGAGGGGGGTCACGGCAGTGCCAAGGGACAGGCAGGCTCCCCTCCCCCGCAGACACCCTGGCACCAGCTGTCAGCCCTGGTTAGCCGCCCTGCTGAACGGACGCTCTCCCTCGCGTGAAGCCTGCGCCCCCGGGGGGAGGTGCCCGGGTCTGCCCCGAGATCTGCCCCAATGAGCCGACTGCCCCCCAGGCCAGTGAACTGATCGGGGGGGGGAGAGGGAGGACTGAGAAACAGAGGGGGCAGCTCTGCTGGGGGGGCACAGAGCCACATACCCCACAGAGGGATGACGAACGCAGAGGAGCGGACCGAGGGGGACGTGACGGGGGCCCCTGGCTGTAGGGCTGGACGGGGGAAGGAGCACCAGGAGCCATCAAGGGGGGCAGAATGGTGTTACTGTCTCTTTAAAGGCTGGCCGTTCCCCTCCCCGCCCTTATCAGCTCTGGCTGGCAGAGGGGCACGAAGGTCGCTGGCAGCTCAGCCCCGATAAGAGCCCGTGGGGCAGGGCCTGGGGGAAGGGACACGTGTGTTCACCCCTTGGCTGCTACCCACTGCGGGCTGGGCGAGCAGGGGGCTGCGGGTCGGGGAGTGAGGGGCACCGGCAGGGCTGGGGGGAGGGGCTCACTCAGCTGCTGTGCTGGCTGGGAGGGGTGCCATGTGGGAAGCAGGGGGCGGAGCCAGCAGGGGTGAAAGTTCAGCAGATGGGCAGAGGATGGCACAGCCTCTGATTGGCTCCAGGCCCTGCCTGTCTGCACCCTACATGTCCCACCCCCCTCAGGGTGGGGCACAGCACCATCTCCTCCAGTTGGGGCAAGATCAGCCCCCGCCCCCGCCCCTCACTCGCAGGCTCCGGCGCCCCAGGGCGAACCCTGTGGGCAGTGACCGGGGCAGCGCTGGGGGGTTCAGCCGCTGGGCAGGGAACCCGGAGCTGCCTGGGCCAGTGGAGGGCAGAGGGGGCCCTACACACAGTCCGTCCATCCCCCCACGGGAACCGCACCTGTGCCCCACAGCCACCACCCAGAGCCTCAGATCCCCCCCCAAGCCCCACAGCTGTCACCTGCCCCCCCCCAGGCCACCCCCGTGAGCCCCACAGCCGTCACCCAGCCCTCCTGAACCTGAGCCACCCTCCCGAGCCCCACAGCCATGACCTGCCCCCCGAACCTCAGCCGCCCCGCGAGCCCCACAGCTTTCACCCACTCCCCAGAGCCCCCCAACCATCACCAGCCCCCAAGCTGCCTCCTGAACCCCACAGCTGTCGCCAGCCCCCCAACAGTCACAAGCCCCCCCATAACCTCAGAGCCCCCCCCAGCCCCACAGAAGTCACCAGCCACCCCAATCCTCAGAGCCACCTCCCCCCTACCTCACAGCCACCACCCTCCCTCTGAGCTGCCCCCCAAGTGCCCAAACCTCAGAGCTGAAGGGCGGGTGGGCCCCGGGGCAAGCAAGGCCCGGTTTAGGACAGGAAGCGAGGGAGGACCCCAGCTCCAGCCAAGCCAGGATCTGAGCGAGGTCCTGGGGGAAAAGGCACCAAGATGGGGGACAGAGCAGGGACCGCCCACCAGCCCCGGCTCACCCGTGGAGGTCTGCGCCAGCTTCTCCTTGGTCTTGAGGGCATGGGCCCGCTCCTCCTTGAGCCGCTCGTCGTCCCGGAGCAGGGCCACCAGCTGCTTGGCCTTCTCCCGCACGTTGACACCCTGGTCCTTGCCATCGCGGTCGACGTACTGGAAATCCTTCAGCGTCTGGATGGCGTAGATGTTCTCCTTGCACTGCTGGGCCACACGCTCCGAGCCCGTCTTGATGAGGTACTCCATCAGCGTCATGGCCTGGGGGGGCAGGCCAGCCTCAGCCACGCAGCCCACTCACCGCCCTCCCCCCCCCCGCCCTGCCACCCACGGCCCCTCTGTCCGCCTCCACCCAGCCCTCCCCTACAACCGCAGTCCGCAAATACACCACACAGCTCCCACACATCCACCCAAACACCCCACACCCACAGCCCACCTGCCTACCAAGTCACAGAGCCGCTCCTCATACTCCACCCCTTCCCAGGCAAAGGGCACACAGGAGAGGAGTGGGGGCTAGTGGTTAGAGCAGGGGGGCTGGGTTCTATCCCCAGCTCTGGGGATTAGAGGTGGGGCCAGTGGTTAGAGCAGGGGGCTGGGAGCCAGGACTCCTGTGTTTGCTCCCCGGCTCTGGGGGCTGGGGGGCCAGTGGTTAGCGCAGGGGGTGGGAGCCAGGGCCCTGGGGGCAGCACCTTGTAGACGTGGCGCCAGTTCTTGCCGTGGTCGTTGAGCCGTTTCCAGATCATACTCATAATCTCGGAGAAGGCCACCACGTTGTAGGTGAGGTCGGCAATCTCCGACATGAGCGAGCTGGACGGGCCCCAGGGGTCGTTGGACGTGGCCTCCCGCACCTTGATCTCCGCCTCCGAGTAGTTGTGGACGATGTTTTTCATCTGGCGCCGCAGCGATGAGGTTGACATGGCGGGGGTGGGACGGGGGAGCGGCCCGGCAGCGGGGCGGCTTCTGATCCCAGTCCTGGGGGGGTGGGGGGGCGTGAAAGCTCCCTGTGTCTGTGCAATGAGGGGGGACCCCGATCCCAGTCTGGGCAGAAAAGCCCGTGTCTGTGCAATGGGGGGCCCCGGATCCCAGTCCTGGGGGGGGGAGGAAACCCCCTGTGTCTGTGCAATGGGGTGGAGCTGGCACCAGCGGGCGACAGGGAGGTGGTCAGGCTGCTATCTGTGCCCGGGACGGCACGGGTGAGCCGGGCCTGAGCCGCATCTGCAAGACAGAGAGAGCGAGATCAGTGATTCAAAACACCCAGAGCAGGGCCTGAGGCTGGCATGAGATGCAGCAAGAGGGGCTGGGAGCCAGGACTCCTGGGTTCTCTTCCTGACTCTGGAAGGGGAGTGGGGTCTAGTGGTCAGAGCAGGGGGGCTGGGAGCCAGGACTCCTGGGTTCTCTCCCCAGCTCTGGGAGGGGAGTGGGGTCTAGTTAGAGCAGAGGAGCTGGGAGCCAGGACTCCTGGGTTCTCTCCTCAGCTCTGGGAGGAGTGTGGTGGCTGGTGGTTAGAGCAGGGGGGCTGGGAGCCAGAATTCTGACATCGGTCCCTCCTCGCAGGGAGCGCGTATGGAGGGAGGGCTGGCGGGGAGGGACCGACCCCAGAGAGAACATGCCCAGCCGCCCGACGGGAGATGACCCCCCCAGACAGCAGGAAGAGCCAGCTGCCAACCTCTAGCGCCCCCAGTAGAGGGGTGCCAAGGGCAGCCAGAATTCAGCCCCTTTGGGGACGGGCAATGGACCCCCATTGAAAGGCCCTGAGAAAGGAAGGGACATGGCGGGTCTAGGGGTGCCGGGCTGCAGAGCTCCACCCTCCAGTCAGTGCTGGGGCATAAGAGCGGCCAGGCTGGGTCACACCAAAGGCCCATCTAGCCCAGTGGCCGATGCCAAGTGCATGAGAGGGAATGAACAGAACAGGGAATCGAGTGATCCATCCCGTCGCCCATTCCCAGCTGCTGGCAAAAGGGGTCGGCAGGTAACCAGCCGTGTCACAGCCTGCGGCAGGAAGTGTCCAGATAACCAGCCCCAACCCCAGAGGGGCCGTTGTCCCAGCGCCGGGCGAGGTGTCCCCGTATAACCAGCCCCAGCCCCACCCCAGAGGAGCTGCATCTTTGTGCCAGGCAAGGGGTCCCCAGATAACCAGCCTCCACGCCCCAGCCCAGAGGCAGCCGCATCTCCATGCCCTGCGGAGCGCCCGGGGACGGTGGCCGCGGCACCAAGCAGAGTGTGGCGCAGCGGAGGGGAGGAAGGAAATCTCCGGGCGTCCTGGCGCCATGACTCACGTCTCAGAAATGCAGAAGGCCTCACTTCCTTCCCCTCTGGCTGCTCCCGGCTGGGACAAGAAGACCCGTGGGGCTGTAGACCACCAGGGGAAGGAATTCAGGTGACCCCCCCGCTCCATCAGAGCCGGCACAATGACCCAGCGGTGCTCCTGGGACTGGGCTGAGGGGCCAATGAACCAGGGGACCCCTCTCTGTGTTCCTGTGCAGCACCCCCACCCCACTGCTGCCTGAGGCAGGGCAGCTCTCTGGGCTGGGGGCTGCAGCCACTGATGCACCTGTCTGCATTGAGAGGGGCCAGGGATAGATCCCAGGAATCCAGGCGGCCTGTCTCCCTGCTCTAACCACCAGACTGCACGGCAAGTCGGGGAAGGCAAGTCAAACGCTGACGGCGGAACAGACAGGCGAGCGCATCCCTGTGGCCGTTGAAGGGACGGGGTAGGCGGGGGTCAGTTCAAAGGACAGGGGCTCCCCATGTTAAGGTGGCCCCAAGTGACAAGCCAGGCCCTCCCCTACTAAGCCCCACAGGGTTCAGTTCAGAAAACACCCCCGCATCCCATTCCTAGAGCTTGTTGTTTATATTCTGGTAGTGACTTGAGATCCTAATGAAGATCGGGGCCCTGTCCTGCCAGGTGCTGCCCAGATCCAGAGTCACTGAGATCGGGGCCCCGTCGGGCCGGGCACTGCCCAGACCCACAGTCGCCAAGATTGGGGCCCTGTCAGGCTGGGCGCTGCCCAGACACAGAGTCGCCGAGATCGGGGCCCTGTCGTGCCCGGACACAGAGTCACTGAGATCACCCTAGGCCTCCTACCCACTGGACCACCCCAGCCTGAAAACCCCTATAACCACACACTGCTGGGAGGTCTTGTCTCAGCTCTTCCCTGACCCGTGCACCACCAGGCCAACCCCAGGGGTCTCTGGTGCCAGATCCAACCCCCACCCAGCTCTGGGAAGCAGGAACCCCACCCGTTGCCCATCCAGGATGCGCACCGAGGAGCCAAACAGGCTCTGGTCAGTTTCGGGGCAGCTGTGAAATTGACCGGTGCGGCGGGCGCAAGGACGGCTGATACAGGCTGGGGGGAGGCAGGAGAGACCTCCCCACTAGCCAGCCTGGCTGCTCACATCAGACCCTCGCTAGCCAGAGGCCCACGGGCCAGATGGGCGCCCTAAAGCTGCACCCGAGGGAACTCCCAGCACCAGCTGGCAGGGCGAGCGCTGTGGCTACCAGGTGCCTGCTCAGATTTAAGGCCCTGACGTGGCTGGTTTAGAAGTAACCCCCCTCCCAGCTCTGCCACGACCCCTACAGGGGCAGGGGCAAGTACCTCGTGCCCCACGCCCGGCGAGGGGTGGGAGCGACGGAGACAGCAGCAGCTCATGAGACGCGAGCCGAGGTATGTCCAGCCCTGCCCCAGTCCCCTCTGTACCCCGCAAGCTGCCCGCCGCCCCCCCGTGGCGGCGGCAACAGCGGCACCCCG